AGCTAGAAAAGGTACACCTGGAAGGCTCAATGGTTGAGCGTCTGGTTTGGCTTAGGGTGTGATACTGGGGTCCTAGGATCGAGTCCTGTATCAGGCTCCCTGTGAGGAGCCTACTTCTCCCTCTGCCTATGTCTCTGCCGCTCTCTGTGTGTCTGTCATGAATAAATAATTAAAACCTTTCAAAAAATAGCTAGAAAAACTAAAAATCATCAGGGAACACCCAGGATTTGCTTACTTCCAGCCAGCATTCTCATTGGTGCGGTGCTTCTTACAGTCTCCTCACTTTCTTCATCAAGAGCCAAATGCCTAGCCTCTCACACAGGGCAGCCCTTTGCCCCAAACACGTTTGCTCCTGGCTAATATCCGCAATCTTGTATCGCCCAAAGTAGTCAGAGAAAGAAGATCATCCCTAAATAACTAACATGTTTTGTTCAATTCACACAGTGAAAACTAGGAGGAATCCCTCATTTTTCCAACCCTTCTCTTTTTGCCCATAGTGTTTAGCAGCAGAGCCCTGAGATTAGGAAGCCCATGTCTTGCCATCAAGGCAATGAAGTAGGAGCAGTGAAGACTCTGGAAGCTGGCTTGGTGACAGCAGCATCAGAAGGCAGAGAGAAACAGAGAGAATAGGAACAGATTGAGAGCTGAGCCACCAGCCTGGGTCTGAGGAAATGGCCTCATGGGGTTGACAGACTGTGACAGGTTCTGCAACTCATTCTATTCAAGTCAGAAGAACCAAAGATTGATTCATCCCAGGTGAATTTTGGGAAGTCAACAAATTGTTCTGAGCTCAGTTTTCATATTTGTGAACTGGGGGTGAGTGAATGATGCGTCATTTGCAAACCGTTAAAAGAGTGTGTCTGGAAGAACTGGCTCTGTGCTTGGCACCTAATGAGGTTTCATTGCTGTTACTTGTCTCTTGCCCCCTTCCAAGGGCCTTATAAGTCTTCCACCACAGGTGTCCCTTTGGCTTGGGCCAATTGCCTGGGATGTGGCTGTTAAAATTTAATGTTTTATTCTTTTATGCCCCTAAAGATGACTTTGCACTGTAGGTTTATGTACCTTTCTGCTGGAGAACTTGAAATGAGTTGCTTAACCACCAAATAATTGTATTATGAGGATTCAATGGAGCAAATATACTCAAAAGTGCTCTATAAATATTTCTAGTACATTTCTCTGTTTATTATTTGCATGTTTGGATACTTCAGAGCTTTGGTGGTAGGAATGGAACTTGGGACTTGGATTTGTTTGATATTTTTTGATGTTTTTTAAGGTGACTTGGAAGCGTATCAGATTATTTGCTAGATTTTACTTGGAGGCAAAAGATATTGAACTGTGCAGGAATCACTGATCTCTGATCTAAAACGGAACCTGTAATTCCCTGCTCTCGGCTGCTAATATGCCACAGCTTGGACATTTTATTATCTGTAGTGGAGTGTTAGTCTGGCACCTGATTTTTAGTTTAGATGCACGTTATCAATCTATGGAGCCCAGCACTTTTCATTTATAGGAAAATCAGAGTTATCTGGGCTAGGTAAATAAATAAAGGTTCAGTGAAGTCATGAATCTCAATTTCCGATATCATTGTTGGTTTAATTGTTCTGTAACTAAACAAACCCTGTCAGTATTTTTAGGGTGAAGAGTCATTCTACAATGATTTGAGAATAATTGTGGATGTGCAAATGGAGTTAATGCATCAGAATTGGGCATAACACGGCCACACCCCTGTTGGAAATGCCAGGTGTGCTACATGGAGCTTTTCCAGCTTTTACTTGAGGAAGAAAAGCCAGGTCTGGGATGTTCAGAGAAACAACTGAGTCGCCTTTCACATGCAAGAGGACTCTTTGAAAATTCCTTTTTTTACCTCAAAATACACACCTATTTTGTATTCAACTCTAAGTCTCTTCATATATGTCTTTAGATTAGCTTTGGCCTAAATTTTGAGTACAGTGGATGCTCCATGACAGGCACCCTAGCCCCCGGGCACACCTGCCTACTCCTGGGAAGGAGAGCGCACCTGTCTGAGAAAACTCAGTGTCCTCAGAGACTGGAAGATGGAGGATGCAGGCCAACATGCTTATGTGACCGTGTGTTTGAGGCACGTGTGTTTCCAGCAAACAGCCTCATCTTCATGAGGTGGTACCATGAAAGGAAAAGTAGAGTTTAAAAAACATGGCAGCGTTAAGGTGGACGGGGCCTAGTCCTCACAGCTACACATCTTCATACCACTGAAGCAGGAGGTCCCCTGCCAGGGCAAAAAGGCCTGATCTCCTCTATTTTTTACTGAATTGTACTTTGGGAGTATGCAACAGTGGTGTGGATTCATACTTGTAACCCTTCAAGCAGTTGGGCATAAAGAGAAAATGAGAATGGGAGTAGGAGAGATACATCAGAATTAACCCCAGAGCCCTTAATTCAACGCCAAGGGCCTTCTCAGTATCCTACGGGATCTTCCACACACCACCAACAGATCCGGCTTTGAATCTGTGAAGCCATTTGCCAAGCAGGCTTTGTTGTGGAAACATTTGTGTGTGAAACAAACAGGGCTGCATCTGAGAGGGGATCTCAGGACCCAGCACCCACTGGTTAGAATAACCGTGAGGCATCAGACCTGAGGAAGAGCACAGGGAAGTAAGAGAACCTGTGGACCTGAGAAGATGAGCAGTCTGGTAATGTGCCTCATCATCACCTGTGTTGGAGGCTGAACTATCCTGCTGAGTCTTCACACTGTCTTCCCAGTCAACAAATGGTAGAGTGTTTGTAACCTCAAACTCGCCCCTGGAACTCACCTCAAGCAAGAAGTCAGGATGCAGAACCTTCTTTACTTCCTGGAAAATGTTTACCCCAGCTGCTATTGCCTGCCTGTTCGTATCATCAACGTGGTGCCAAGATGACTTTGTAAATAATGTTAGCAGAAAGCCATGAGTGAAGTAGACTTCCATGGAGTTTTAGATGTGTGTCTCGCCTTTGAGCTTAGTAGCTTCTGAAAAATACACATTTCTCTTTTTGTCTATATGTCTCTATTTGAGGCCATAAACATGAAGAACCTTTTTATAAATACCCTGGATAGCAGAGGAATATTTAAATATGAAGAAGCAAAGTATGTATGCTTTAAACATGAAGGAACGCACATACTATTCTTTGTTATAATTGCATGTTTAAGCTCATGTTAGCCTATTATGAAATGCGTAGTTTAATCCTACACTTTTTGAAATTGGAATCCACATATTTTAGACTTATAGTTCTACAAATCTATATTAAAAGTATAGTTTTTGTTGTGTCTTCAAGGAACTTATATTCTGAGAAGATAAGCTAGATGTTGGTACCTTTAAACTAGAATTAGGAAGATAATTGTCATTGTCCTACTTAGGTCGGTACCGCAGTATAAGGGGTGTGGCCAGCCTGCCAAGAGCTCCTATGGCCTTTGTCTGCACAAAGGTCTGACAAAGAAGAAAAATATATGACATTAAGGAATTTTGATTTATGCCTATATGTATAGGCCACTTCAAGAGTCAAGAGAGTGGTCCAGCCTGAGGATGCAGTTTCTGAGCTGTTTTTTGACCTCTGTTGCCGTGTCATCCAGGCAATGTGAAGAACAAACATAGGGTAGGAAGCATCAGGCTTTCCAAATTGAAGGAAATAATGCCTTGGAACCAGCTCACATTCCCAACCCACAAATCGCAGGCCATGTCTTCCTCTGATTCTTTATTATCCAATGAGACTCTTAGAGAACAGACCTGTCTCTTACGTCACTTGATGCCAAGATCCATTCCATATGCCCCTGCTAAGCAGCCCAGAAGCCCTGAGATGCACCTTACATTTGGGTCTGAAGGCAGGCATACTGAGGAGATTTTCACATAAGCTGCAGCCAAGCACATGGGCACACCAGGGGCACCAGCTTCAATGTGCAGAGGTATTCTTAAAATCTCTTTGTACTCTCCTGGGCCAAAGCTGTAGCCCTAGTGATGCCCAGTCATTACACTCAAGTCTTACTTATAAAGGTAACTTGATGGTAACATCCAATCACAGTCTTACAGCATCAAGGCTACTGAAAGGCAGTAGAAAGAGAAACAAGCCACGCAACCTACAACAAATAGACTGACCTAGAGGCCATCAAGTTTTCTATTTTTTTCCTTCTTTGGTACAGATTATCTTCTAAAAAGTAGACACTGTATGAATTTGCTTAATACTTTGATTTTTAAAATTATTTTCTGCAAATGCCATGTATCAAACAGTAAATCTGCTTTGAATAAATGTTCAGAATCATTACTGAACAGAACTTTCCTAGAAGAAAATGTAAGCAAGGACTCCAGCTGTTCTGTTTAATATATTAGCAGATAGATATGTATTGAGCAATGAGGGAAAATAAAACATTTTAGCAACCTGGCTTTCAAATACCTACTAGACTTACAGATAACCCATGTAACAATTATGTTCTGAAATTTCCCAGGAAAGCAATTAAATAAGAGAGACCTCAGAGTAGTTTCTTAATACTATGCTCAGGCTCTTCCCTAATACATAAGATTTCCTGGAAATCCCTAGATAATAATACAGATCAGAAGAAATGGAGGTACAGCAGTTTAACAGTATACTTTGCTAAATGGAAACACATTATAATTACAAGAGTAAACATCTATTGACCTATCCTTCTATTGCCTTAGGGTCTGCTTTAATAAATACTTTTTGCAAATTTGAATGTGAAAAGATGTTGTTTACATAAGTAGTTACAAAGAGCCTCTAATATTACAGTAATTGTGTTTGTTGATTTCCATTACTCTGAAAAATACCTTCATCCCCACTAGCAGATCCTCTATTACTGGGAAAGATGTTAGATTGCTAGAAGCTTGTTTTAATCAATAGTAGCCTAATAAAATCACAACACTGTTGTGTTTGTAGACTGTAGTTGAAAAAATAACTGTGATTAAGCATGTTTGTTTTGCAGTGTGAGTATATATTTCAATGCTTGTTTTGCTTGTCTCCCATTTTCCTTCTTCTTACAGATTTTTAAAAGCATTGGCTCTGATGAGACTGTCCAAGGGCAAGGAAGTCGAAGGCTGATCAGCTTTTCTCTCTCAGGTATGTTTTGCTCACCTGAAGGCCCTGTGGAGACAATATGAAGGTCAACCGGCAGTCAGGAGACCTACTTCAATTTGACTCTTACCTACATAGAGGTTACTGCACCTCTGTGTGCCTCAATTGCTCATCTGTAAAAAAAAAAAAAAAAAAATTAAAAATATCTGCTCCATTTTCCTTGACCTCATAAAGATATTGAAGTAATAGATGCTAAATTTGAGATGATGAGAAGAAAAGCTGTAATTTTACTTTGCCTCCATCGTCACTAGCATTATCTAAAACTTTATTAAGTGGAGATAGGGGAAAGCCTGGGGAGGGAAGCAGCCAGCAGACTCCTTGTCTAAATGAAATTTCACATGAAGTTCAATTGGTAAAACGATAAGAATTAAGCTGCTCATAAAAGTACATTTGTGGAAAAGTTAGTGATATCCAAATAAATATATAATTTATTAATAGTATTTAGTTGAGTGATCTAATTTCTTAGCTTTCATAATGGACCATAGTTCTGTAATAAATTAACAATGAGGCAAACTGGATAAAATTATGTGGAAAATCTTTGTACTATCTCTGCAACTCCTCTGTAAATCTAGAATAATTCCAAAATTAAAAGTATATATATAAAAAAAAACTAAGTTACCCTACCTAATATAATATACAAAGCTCAGAGCCCTATATACTAAATTCTATCCTAAGCAATGTTTGAGGAGACACGATGGCATGAAGCTCTAGGACTCCAAAGAACACAGTTGGAAAACTTTGCTTGCCTTTGCTTGTCAAATCAATAAATGTTGCAGGCCACAAATGTCAGAGATCTAAGACCACAGACATGAAATACATGAGCGTCCTTGGGAGACAGTCAGTCAACTGGCATTTTCATGTTAAATGCGCCCTGATAAAAAAATGTATGCCTAAAGATCCATTGGTAAACAATAACAGCAACATTGCAGGATACAAGATTAATGCAAAAAAGTCAATTTCTTTTCTGTATGCCAGCAATGAACAAATGGATTTTGAAATTAAATGCCTTTTTATATTAGTACCTCCCCAAAATTAAATACTTTGATATAAACCTAACAAAATATGTACAAGGTCTGTATGAGGAAAACTACAAAACTGATGAATAAAATTAAAGAACTAAAGAATGGAGAGATATGCCATGCTGATAGAGTAAAAAACTCAGTATTGTCAAGATTTCGATTTTTTTATAGAATCATTGCAATCCCAATTAAAATGCCAGTAAGGCATTTTGTGGATATTAATTAAATGACTCTAAAATTTAGATAGAGAGAGAAAAGACTCAGAATAGCCAACATAATATTGAAGGAGCAGATTGAAGCTGGAGAGCTTACCTGCTCAACATCAAGACTTACCACAGTCCTGGTAATCAAGACAGTCATATTTGTGAAAGAATAGATAAATAGATCAATGGAACAGAATAGAATATCCAGAAATAGACCCACATAAATTTAGTCAACTGATCATTGAGAAAGGAACAATGGCAATACCATAGAACAGTCTTTTCAACAAATGGTACTAGAACTACTGGATATCTACATGCAAAAAAAAAAAAAAGAATCTATATCCAGAACTTAATCCTTTACAAAAATCAACTCAACCTACTAAAAAACTGTAAGAACTAATAAATTCTGTCAAGTTGCAGGATACAAAATCAAAATACAAAAATCTGTGTTTTTGTACTAATAATGAATTCTCAGAAAGAGAAATTAAGAAAACAATCTCATTTACAATTGTATCAAAAAGACTAAAATACCTAGGAATAAATGGTAACTGAGGAAAGAAATACCTATACACTGAAAACAAGGAAAAAATGATGAAAGAAATTGAAGAAGACACAAATAAATGGGAAGATAGTCCATGCTCATGGATGAGAAGAATTAAGATAAGTAAAATGCCCATACTACTCAGAGCAATCTACACATTCAATGCAATCTCTGTTGATATTCCAATGGCACTTTTCACAGAAATAGAACAAAAAAATTCTAATTTGTATGGAACTACAAAAGATCCCCAATAACCAAAGAAATCTGAAGAAAGAAGAGCAAAGTTGGAGGAATCATGATTCCTGATTTCAAGCTATATTACAAAACTATATATATATATATATATATATATAGCAATCAAAATGTAAGATATTGACATAAAAACAAGACACATAGATCAAAGGAACAGAATACAGAGTCCAGAAATAAACGTACTCTTTAATGGCCATTTAATTTACAACAAGGAGCCAAGAACATACAATGGGAAAAAGACAGTCTATTCAATAAAAGATGCTGGGAAAACAGAACAGCCACATACAAAAGAATGAAACTAGACCACTATATTACACCATACACACACACAAAAAAAAACTCAAAATGTATTAAAGACTTGAACATAAGACTTGAAATCACAAAACTTTTAGAAGAAAACATAGGCAGTAAGCTCCTTGACATCAGTATTGGTGGTGATTTTTTTTTTTTTGGATTTGACACCAAAAAGGCAACAAAAGCAAAAATAAATAAATGGGACTACATCAAACTAAAAAGCTTCTGCACAGCAAACTGTCGACAAAATGAAAAGGAGTAAGAGAAAATAGTTGCAAATTATATCTCTGAAATATCCAAAATATATAAAGGAACTCATGCAACTCAGAAAAAAAAATCTGACTGAAGAATGTGCAGAAGATCTGAATAGACATCTCACCAAAGACATACAGATGGCCAATAAATACACAAAAAGATGCTCAATATCACTCATCATAAGTGAAGTGCAAATCAAAACCACAATGAGATATCCTCCCACACCTGTTAGAATGGCTAGTATCAAAAAGAGAAAAGAAGTGTTAGTGAGGAGGTAGAGAAAGGGAACCCTGGTGCACTGTTGGTGGGAACATAAATTAGTGCAGCCACTATGGAAAGCTCTATGGGGGTTCCTCAAAAAAATTAAAAATAGAACTACCATAAGATTCAGCAATTCCACTTCTGGGTATTAATCCAAAGAAAATGAAAACACTAACTCAAAAAGATATATGCACCCCCCACATTCATTGAGGCATTATTTACTATCCCCAAAACATAGAAGCAACCTAAATGTCCACTGCTAGATGAATGGATAAAGAAAATGTGGTATATGCATACAATACAGTGATATTCAGCTATAAAAAAAGAGTGAAATCTTGCTGTTTGTGACAACATGGATGGAGGGCATTATGCTAAGTGAAATAAGTCGGACAGAGAAATACAAATACCATATGATCTCACTTATATGTGGAATCTGAAAAAAAATCAAGCTCATGGATACAGAGAACAGATTGGTGGGGGCTGGACAAAATGGGTGACAGGTGTTTAAAAGATATAAACTTCCAGTTGTAAAACAAATGAGTCATGTGGGTGTAATGTAGAGCATGGTGACTAAAGTTAATAATAACTGCATTGTATATTTTAAACTGAAGAGAGTAGATCTTAAAGTTTTCATCAGAAGAAAAAAGTTATAATGATGTATGGTGATGGCTGTTAACTAGACTTATTTGGTAATTGTTTTGCATTACATACAAATATAATACAAGTATATAAATCATTATGTTGTACATCTGAAACTAATATGATCTTATATGTCAATTATATCTCAATTTTAAAAAATAACTCAGAATGGATCAGACTTCTGTATAACATGCAAAACTGCAAAACTTCTTGAAGGTATCAGGAGAAAACTTACATGACTTTGGATATGGTGATGGTTTTTTAGCTACAACACTGAAGATGTGGTACATGAAAGAAATAATTGATAAAGGATGAGTTATAATTAAAACTTCTGTGCTACAAAAACAATGTCAGGAGAATGGGAAGATAAACTACACTGGGAAAAAATATTTGCAAAACATTAACCTGTTAAAGGAACATTATCCAATATACAAAGAACTCTTAAAATTCAATGTGAAAACAAGTCAATTTAAAAAATGGGCCAAAGATCTTGGCAGACATCTCACCAAAAAATATAGAGATGACAAAGAATCATATGAAAAGATGCTCCATATCATATGTCACCAGGGAAATGCAAGTTAAAACAACAATGAAATACCACCACATACCTATTAGAATGGCCAAAATTCAGAAAACCGACAACACCAAATGCTGACAAGAATGTAGAACAATGAGAACTCTCATTGGTTGCTGGTGGGAATGCAAAATGGTACAACCACTTTCAAAGACAGTTTGGTGATTTGTTATAAAACTAAACATACTCTTACCATAGAATCCAGTGATTGCACTCCGTGGTATTTACCCACATGAGGTAAAAACTTAAGTCTGTACAAAACCTGCACACAGATGCTTATAGCAGCTTTATTCATAATTGCCATAACTTGGAAGCAACCAAGATGTTCTTCAGTAGGTGAATAGATGAATGATATGGATGCAGATAATGGATTAATGTTCATTGCTAAAAGGAAATGACCTGTCAAACCAGAAAAAACATGGAGGAATCTTAAATGCATATTACTGAGTGAAAAAAAAAAGCTAATCTGAAAAGGCTACATGCTGTATGGTTCCAACTATATGACGCTGTGGGAAGGGCAAAACTGTGAAGTCAGGAGATCAGTGGTTGCCTGGGGGTGGGGCTAGGGGAGGAGACAGGGGAGGCGGAGCATAGAGGATTTTTAGGGCAGTGGGAAATATTCTGTATGAACTTTAATAATGGATACATTTGTCAAAACCCATAAATGTACACCACCAAGAGTGAACACTAATGTAAACTATGGACTTTGAGCAATAATGATGTCATTATAGGTTCACCAGTGGTAACATATGTGCCCCTCTAGTGGGGATGTTGGTAATGGGGGGGCTCTACATGTGTGAGGCAAGAAGTATATGGGAAAATTTGTACTCCCTCTTAATTTTGCTGTGAACCTACAATTCCCCCCTCAAAATAAAGTCTTTTATTAAAAAAAATCAGTTGACAACATTAGCATGTGTCTAAATTAAAAAGCAAAAGGAAGAAGAAACTCAGTACTTTTGTTACTAAGGCAGAAAGCCAACCACTTCCGACTTGCCATTCTTATGTTCCTGTTGAAATGCTTGAGAAAAACAATTATTTGTACAAACCTGCAGAAACAGCAGGAGCCTGTAAAACTATTCAGATACCTTCCAGAAACCAACAGGAAATTTCATTAACCAGAGTTCAGTGAAATCCTGAAGCCTGAGAGGGATGCCATGCAGGATGGGCAGCATGGGGCTGGGGAAGGAGACAAAATCTCTTGTTAATTGGTTCCCATTTTGGTCCTGCCATGCAGACATGGGATGATAGAACTACTGTATTCATTGTGAAACTATAGCCCTTGGTTTTCTCATGTCTCCACTTTGCAGAGGAATTTTCTTTTTTTTTAATTTTTTATTTATTATTTATGATAGTCACAGAGAGAGAGAGAGAGAGGCAGAGACACAGGCAGAGGGAGAAGCAGGCTCCATGCACCGGGAGCCCGACGTGGGATTCGATCCCGGGTCTCCAGGATCGCGCCCTGGGCCAAAGGCAGGCGCCAAACCGCTGTGCCACCCAGGGATCCCTGCAGAGGAATTTTCACCTAGATCCATAAAATTTTCAAAGTTGAATGCCTTGCCTCTATGTCCACCACGTTTCCTAAGGTGACCTCACACCCTCACCCCAACCTGCCCGAGGAATGCTGGAAGTGCAGTCCAGGAAGGGCCAACAGTCCTCTCTTAAAACACATAATGACCACAATGCCAATTGTTTTGATTTCTTGCAAGGAATGGTTTTAAACATGCCAGTAAATGTTCTATATAATGGGCTCTCGCAGCCCATATTTATAATGAGGTAGAAAATAGTCTAAAGATTGGAAAGGCTTTTCCATGTTTTAGATGGACTTTTCTCCTTATGTAAGGTCTGATATTATGATCTTTAATCTCACCGAAACACACTTAAGTCAAAATGTTCCTTATTTTATAGATTTCCAGGCCATGGGGTTGAAGAAAGGGATGTTCTTCAACCCAGACCCTTACCTGAAGATTTCTATTCAGCCTGGAAAGCACAGTATCTTCCCTGCCCTCCCACACCACGGACAGGAGAGGAGATCCAAGATCATAGGCAACACCGTGAACCCCATCTGGCAGGCCGAGGTGAGTGCTGTGGGCTCTTAGAAGAAGCCTCAGTAGCCAACTGAAACAAAGCAGCGCACATGCTATCTCCTCCTTCCTTGGAGCCTCAGAATGCTGCTGAGCTCATGGCTCTCTGGTCTTAGAAGGGAGCTGTGTTCTCTGGAGGTTGTAACTCATGGATCTTTATGGAGCCCCTCAAGGCAATACCAAGAAACTGTTTGTGGCAGCTACACTCAGTAGCCCTGTTACAGCTTCTTCCTCTGATTCGGGATCTGCGTCTGAAGGCAAGACACCCTCTCTCTGCCTCTGTGTGGGAGAAGGAAGAGAAGCATTTTGATCTGAGCATTCTTACACTCTTCCTACATGTGCAGTCCTTAGGCAAGAGTGCCAGATTTTAAATGCATCCCTCTTAGACCAACGTTCCAGAGATTCTGGAGGTTAGGGAATTCAGAGATTCCCAGGATAGGTAAATCATTAAGCCCTAGAATATCCCTGGGATTTACATATTGTTTGATCTAAATAGATATGAATCCTAATTGTGCATCCCCTCTTCCTGGTCTGAACAGTGCTAGGCAACTTACAGGAGGATTGGACAGTTTGTTCTATCTCATGAAGACCCATCTCCACTCCCAAATGTGACGTGAGGATGTTTCTCAGCACTGGCCAGGAATGAGGACATTCCTCAGCAAAGCCACATGCATGTCAGGCTTGGCCTTACAGCGACTAAGTCTTCTCCTAGAGAACTAGCAGAAAGTTGTCACAACCCATCTAGCAACCTAGCTCACATGCTTTCGCTTGAGGGTGTGACCTGTTAACCATGTGGGCTGGGGAGCAGGGAGGCTTAGGGCATGGCAGGGGCTACAGTATAATGTCTGAGTTAAAAGCACAGCTTTGCAGTTACACAAACCTTGGTTCAAATCCCAGCATGGCCTATTACTAGTTATATAGATTTAAGGGGCGGGGAGTGGGGGTGACTGGGTGACAGGCACTGAGGGGGCACTTGATGGGATGAGCACTGGGTGTTATGCTATATGTTGGCAAATTGAACTCCAATTAAAAAATGTAAAAAAATTAATTGATCGATTAATTGATTAATTAATTAAAAAATAATTCAGTCATCCTCAATCTGGGCCTCAGGTTACCTTCATCAGGCTGTTACTGATGGAAATGTGCTACTCCTACCTGAGGCACTTGCTTTGGGCAGGTTTCCTTCCTTTATTCTTCAGAGTAGATGATCTCTGCTGTGGACTTTTCAAGCATTCTTGAGCAAGAAAGTGAGATTAGATATTTGGGGGCAAGTCTTGCTCATTATCTCTTAAATTACACCCCCTACTTCCAAGATTTAATTAACCCTGACCCAGGCCCTACAGAGGAGCAATGTTACAGCTTTGAAGTTAGAGCAACATGAAGGAAATGGAATTGCACTTAAACTTCCTACTACTTTGGTTATCATCAGATTCTAAAGCACTGTGAGTACCAGTAGCATGGAATAATGAATCTTAAATTATTTGTTCTTTCAGTCCTGGCTATTCTCACCAATTATTTCTGGTCTCTTCACTGCATTCCTGGGGATAATACAAGATGCTACAGGAATTTATAGTACATGAAAAAAAAAAAAGGCTTCTCTCTTGTGAAGAACCTCAGAGCAACTTGTTCTAAAACATTTAGTCATAAAGGTATTATAAGTCTCAAAGAATATTTCAAAACCCCAGCGCCATCAGAATGTTTTGGTTTGGTTTGGTTTGATTTTTTTGTCTAAAAATTTCAGCTAGAATCCACTGTAAGTTCTGAAATTATTTGAGTCTTTAGTCAAGATTTACTTCACCCTGGAAAGATCCCAGAAAACTCTCACTAGTCCTCTGCTTTTGACCTCCTGCACTCTATCCAGTGTCCTGTGGTTAAAGTCGGTGTTTTCTTTTTTTAAGATTTTATTTATTTATTCATGAGAGACACAGAGAGAGAGGCAGAGACATAGGCAGAGGGAGAAGCAGGGTCCATGTAGGGAGCCCGTTGTGGGACTTGATCGCAGGCCCCCGGGATCACGCTCTGAGCCTAAGGCAGACGCTCAACCATTGAGCCATCCAGGTGCCCCTAAAGTCAATGTTCTAAAACAAGTTTTACCACATATCTCCCCAATGAGGCTCAGATTGAGGATAACTGATTTCTCAAGTTAAACATCAAGTAATTTGGCTGAAGATCTGCACATTGAACCCCTAAATGCTCTCCTATACAGAACATTCAAGGCCTCTGCTGACTCTGCATTGCTTACTACTTGTGTCAGTGATGGGTTGCATTTGGCTCTAAGCTAGCGAAGTGGGGTCAGCTGAGATATTTCTCACAAACAAGAAGTCCAGAGGGAGGTGGTCCTGGCAGCGTAGCTACTCATACACCAAGGGACTCAAGCTCTCTAGGTCTTCCCACTGCACCTGTTAGCAGATGCCTCCCACCCTCCTGTCTTAAAGCCTCAAACTCAAGCTTCAGGCAAAAAGGCAAAAAGCCTCCTTTTTAGGCTTTGCATTTTTATTCTGTAAGAGAAGCCCTTCCCAGCAAAAGCCTTATGACCTGTCACAGACCCTCTCTTGTTTGGGAAAACCTAGTGCTTTGATTCCCCAACTGTCCACTAGGGAGGGCCAAAGGAGAAGGTGGTTGAACATGGGTTTTGAATAAGATAATTTATAGCATGTGCAATGTGCTTCAGCTCCACTCCCCAGCACCTTATACCTCAGACATTATGTTAAGGCCACTCGCAGTAGCTCTGTCTCCCACTGCCCCTCATGCTTTCACATGCCTGCATTGATTGTCTTTCCTTATATCTGCTTAAAATGTACATTCTCAATGAATCCAACTTAGCAACCCTGTTCAGCCATCAAGACTCAGCTAAAATGCCACCTCCCTCATGGGCCACTCCTTGACTCCCCACTTAGGCCTTAGGAGGAAAGTGCTCCTTTCTCTCTGTCCCTTTGTCCAGATCTCCAACATACTGTCTTTATTTGCACATCTGTCTTTCCTGTGAGCCTTTGGGTCCTCAAGGGAAGGAATCATATCTAATTTTTCTTCGCATCTCCAGTTCCTGGAGCCTAATAGGTGATATAAGGCTTATATAGGGCTTACTATGCCAACCAGTGTAAACATCTTATATGATTAACTCAATCCTCACAACAACCCTATGAGATATATGCTATTATTATCCCTATTTAAAGATGGGGAAACCAAGGCACAGAGAAGTTAAGTAATTTTCCCCAGGTCACAGCTAATAAATGGCAGAACTGGAATTTGAGCAGGTCATCTGCCTTCAGAGGTTGATACTAATCAGTTTTGTGTATAAGTGGTTGTGGATAAATTCTGGAGAGAGTATCCACAGATTTTATCAGATACTCAAAGTGATCAGTATAACCCTCCCCTTCAGAAGAAAAATAAAGTATAAATCTATAGCATTGGATAATAAGGCTGAAGGCAGTTATCAAAAAGCTTAATTTGGTCTTTCAGCTAATCATACAAACTATTACTTCTGGAGGATAAGTTTTAAAGATCAATGAGAACTTTGTTAATGGAGAAAGGCAGGTGAAGTTCTTATGGCTGATTATTTATTCATTTAAGGAATGTTACTGAGTATCTAATCTGTAGTAGAAATAGAAACCTCTGAAAGGACACAAAAAAGATTGGCAGGTAAGACCACTCAGCCTGGTAGAAGGAGACAATACAATAAAATAAATGTTCTAATCAAGGTATGGAGAGAATGCAGCAGAATGCTGAGGGAAGACTTCCCAGATGGTGTGCTGTGGGACTTAGGTCTTGATGCGTGATGAGGCATTTCTGGGGAGTGGTTGAAAAAAAAGAAAGAAAGAAATGCCATGTGATTGGAGCTCATAGTATATACAGACAGGTGATGGCTGTTGGGCTGGGCTTCCTCCAGTTGCACACATCCAGCATGGTTCTCTTATTTCTTACAAACAAAACCTTGGGTTGGGTTCTGGGTCTCATATTGCACCTTGGTGAATGAAATGGAGATTCCCTCTTCCTACAGAATTCATGCACATCTTTAAATTTCTATGCAGCAGGTGAGTGAGAACCAAACTCTTCTACTTTCTGTATATACTTGCTAACATATAAAGGATATTCATGAGAAATAATTGAAGTTACCTGAACTTAAGAGCAAGAATATCCTTAATATATAGTTTAAATGCTTAATATATTTCTGTGATTAATGTTGCATTAAAATCTTATGTGATTTTTTCAAATTTATGCAAGTTCAAACTTGAAACATATGTTTTTGCTCATTAAAACATGCTACATCCTAGAAAAATTACAGTTACTAGCAGAATTTTAAAATGAGAAGGGAAAATAGAGGAATACATATTAAATGTAATGTCAACGAAAAAACTTTTTTAAAGAAGACTACCATGTTGATTGATCTCTTTTTTATTATTATTACTGTAATTAGAAACTATTTTTACCCAGGGAAAACTCTCCTTGATTTTCAGGTCTGTTTACTTTCCTGAACGGATTTAATGAGCACTTATAAAATTATAGCTACACAGAGAAGTTAAATAGAAAACGGCAGAACTGAAGAGTCTTGGGTTATTTAATCAGAGTGCCTATGTGGAGAGTATGTTTAAACCTCTAAATCAAACAAGGAACTCCTAAAAGCAAATTCTCAGAAATATCATGTGGATTGAGCAAATATTTAAATCAAGCCTGGGGCCATGGTGTTTGTCAGCCTCCACTCCATTCTCTGTCTCAGCCCTCAAAGCGAGGTGGATTAATCCCACACATGTACACTATCAGTCTGCTTCAATCTGGTCACAAGATTAGAAGACAAGATATTTCCTCCTAGAGCTTATATTCTAATGTAAGAAAACAAAACAAAATATAAACTAACAAGATAATTGCAAGGGAAAATATCAACACTAAGGAAACACATTGTAACGTGATGTGCATGATGGAGAGGAGCTAACTTAGATGGCCATGGTCCAGAGAAAGCCTTTCTGAGTTGTTGTCACATGAACTGAGAAGCCAGATAC